AGTGGGGAATCAAACCCGCTTCCCCCAGATTAGAGTCCTCGCACTTCACCACTACACCAAAGTGGCAGAGTGCTGGGCCCCATACCTGCCTGCCCACGATAGCCAAGTTGGATGTGTTGTACAAGTGTGCAGAGGAAGTGGGTACAGGTATGCTCCCTACTGGGATCAGCGGCGTCACTGATCACAGGGAGGGAGCGAATGCGTGGACACTGTCTCAGCGTGTGCACCCTGTAATACAACCCCATGAGCACATAAAGGCCTCGGGGTGGGGCCAGTGTGCTTCTGCCTGCTCTCTTTCCCCTTGCGGATGGGTCGTCTGTGCGGGGCTTCTCTTTCTCCGGTGCTGGGGCATAATTTCTTTTATTCTGTTTTACGGGGCACACAAATCAGATGGTTATTCCCTTCCCAGCCCTCATGTCTTCAGAGTCTTCCCCATCATTCACCCATACTCATGCAGCAAGTGAATGTTAGCCCTTAAGCAACAAAGGGTGTTTTATTTTAATAAACATTTTTATTAGTAAAATATAAAACTTTAACAGTTAACATAGATTTCAGGTATACATATCGAAAATAATTGAACAAAACAGTGTAATTTTGATGGTATAAAGAGCCGTAAAAAGAACTACATAAAAAGAGAAGAATCCCGCTGCCTGGGTGCCTGGTAGGGATTCACCTCCCCCCTTTGAATTGTGGCCCTAGCTAGGTTATAAAATGTCTCTGTAAACCACTCCGAGCCCTCGGGAAGGAGCGGTATATAAATCCAAATATGTAATGTAATGTAATGCCCACGATAGCCAAGTTGGATGCGTTGTACAGAGGAAGTGGGTGCCGGTATGCTCCCTACTGTGATCAGCGGTGTCGCTGATCACAGGGAGGGAGCGAATGCGTGGACACTTTGTCTCATCGTGTGCACCCTGTAATGCAACCCCACGAGCACATAAAGGCCTCGGGGTGGGGCGGGTGTGCTTCTGCCTGCTCTTTCCCCATGAGGATGGGTCGTCTGTGCGGGGGTTCTCTTTCTCCGGTGCTGGGGCATAATTTCTTTTATTCTGTTTTACGGGGCACACAAATCAGATGGTTATTCCCTTCCCAGCCCTCATGTCTTCAGAGTCTTCCCCATCATTCACCCATACCCATGCAGCAAGTGAATGTTAGCCCTTAAGCAACAAAGGGTGTTTTATTTTAATAAACATTTTTATTAGTCAAATATGAAACTTTTAACAGTTAATATAGATTTCAGGTATACATATCGAAAACAATAATTTAACAAAACAATGTAATTTTGGATTGTGAAGAAGCATATCATACAACCAGATCATGAATACAAAAACAAAGTGAACATATTTTCTAGGTAGTTTGTTGTCCTTTGTGGCAAAATTAGTGATATAATCAAATAAGGTGTACCATTTCTCCAAAAAGCATGACTGATAATTTGGACTTTCTGCCAACACCAACTGATCTGATATTTTGTCCATCGCTGTGAGTTCCCATATTTTCACAAACCATTGTCTATCTGTAGGGGTCTTATCTGACTTCCTTCTCTGTGCTAACACTGTTTTAGCTGCTTTCAATAGCAGAGAGATTGAGAGAGAGAGATTGGATTTATTCCCCACCCTTCACTGGGAGTCTCAGAGCGGCTTACAACCCCTTTCCCTTCCCCTCCCCACAACAGACACCCGGTGAGGTGGGTGGGGCTGAGAGAGCTCTCTCGAGAACTGCTCATGAGAGAACAGCTCTGAAAGAACTTGTAACTGATCCAAGGTCACACCAGCAGCTGCAAGTGGGGGAGTGGGGAAATCAAAACCCGGTTCTCCCAGATTAGAGTCCGCACACTTACCCACTACACCAAACTGGCTCTCTAGTATAGCTATTAACTCTTCCTTCTGTTTGGAAATTTTATTAGTGGGCCATAAGTTTAGCAGACGAGTTCCTGGCTGCCTGGCAAAGAGTAATTAGTAATTTTATGTAATTTAATATCTTCTTCCAAAAAAAGTTGAATTTTTGGGCACGTCCACCTACAGTGAATGAAGGTGCTTGAATAACACACCCTTTCCCCAGCACTGAGGGTTACCAATTAATTTTGCGTGATATAATCTTAGTGGGGACAAATACCATCTGGTACAAATCCTGGAAGATTGCAATTGAATATTTAATGCTTTTGAGGTGTAAATAATGGAAGACCATATTGAGCTCCATCGCTGTTCATCAGTAGTGTTCCCACAGTCTCTCTGCCAAGTTCCCTGGCGGCTGGACTGCCATGTCCGAGCAAGGAACGTTTTTGACGTCACAGAGCCCATTACCCGCCCGGTGTTAATCTGCAATGTTATGGAATAATAATATATGTAATAATGTGACCTGGATAGCCCCAGCCTAGCCCCATCTTGTCAGACCTCGGAAGCTACGCGGGGTCGGCCTTGGTCAGTATTTAGATGGGAAACCGCCAAGGACGTCCAGGGTCCCTACGCAAGAGGCGGGCAGTGGCAGACCACTTCTAAATGTCTCCTGCCTTGAAAACCCCACGAGGGGTCGCCAGAAGTCCACTGTGACTTGATGACAAAAATATTACACAATAATAATAATAATAATAACAACAACAACAACTAAAGAGCCTCTTGCTCAGAAAAGAGGAGAGCGCAAAAGTGGGCTTGAAGCTCAACATCAAAAAAACTAAGGTGGCATCCGGCCCCATCACTCCTTGGCAAATAGAAGGGGAAGTCGTGGAAGTAGTGACAGACTTCACCTTCCTGGGATCCCAGATCACCGCAGACTGTGACAGCAGCCATGAAATTAAAAGACGCCTGCTCCTCGGGAGGAAAGCGATGGTGAACCTAAACAGCATGATAAAAAGTAGAGACATCACCCTGCCAACTAAAGTCCGCATGGTCAAAGCAATGGTATTCCCAGTAGTCAGGTATGGCTGCGAGAGTTGGACTATAAGGAAGGCCGAGCGCCGAAGAATAGATTCTTTTGAACTATGGTGCTGGAGAAGACTCAACTTCAGAGGACGGCGGAAGACCGGAAGGCCTGGCGTGATCTGGTCCATGTGGTCGTGAAGAGTCGGACTCGACTGTGCGACTGAACAACAACAAAATAATAACCCATAATGGCTATTATATATACTGCCTGGAATTCATAAAAGGAAATTCATGAACCAGGAGGCTTCTTCTCATAGTAGTCGTCCTTCTCGGGCTTCCGTTTGAAAGCAGTGCTTGAAATGGTCGTCTCTCGTCTGTCTGGAAGGTTCCAAACCTGGTCCTTAGGAAATCTACCCCGTTCCCTGGTGCCTTCCTTTTGAGCCACCTCTCAGAGCTTTGTGGGAGCGGGGCAGGTCTGGTCTGAGGTTCACCAATGGGATTCCAGCATGCAACTTCATCCAAACTCGATGCTGACTGGCTACTCCTCCTGAGTTCACAATGTGACCACCCAACAATCAGTCACGCTTTACGTTGTGTGAAAGTCATCGGGTGCTCATGGTACCAACCCACAGTTGGAGAGACAAGGAGGCCATCGCTGGAACATGCGCGGCTATTGCCTCTGTAACAAAAGGAATTGGAAACCTGCAGTCTGAATAACTGGATGGTAATTCCCTCCCTCCCCCCTCCAACCTAAACCCGAACATGTGGAAGGAAATGAAAAAGAAGTGTCTTCATGCTAAGATGAAAACAGCAGAGGAAACGGCTGCCTCTGAACTCTACATGGCTCTCGTGGTGGCCCCTAAAAATCCTCCCGCCAAAGCCGCCGGTCTTCAGAGCGATGTGGTGTTTGAAGAAATTGGCCGCCGCATCCGAGAGGTTGGCAGTCAGCTTGTCCAGAAGGTGAATGCCATCTTTCAGTGGGACATTATGAGCGGAGAGCTGATGGTGGCCCAGTGGACGCTGGACCTGAAGACCGGCTCTGGCGAGATCTACCGAGGGCCCTCCCGCCAGTCCGCTAGTGCTGTCTTCACCCTCTCCGAAAACGACTTCATGGAACTCGTTCTGGGCAAGGTCAAGCCTCAGCGGGCCTTCCTGGGGGGCAAGATCAAGGTGAAAGGCAGTATTTTGCTCAGTCACCGACTGGAGGCGATCCTCAAAGACTACATCAAGTTGTGAGGCACGCGAGGCGGAAGACGGCGGACCCCCCTTTTCTGTTTAGTCAAGATGTTGGTCAGAGAGGAGAGTGAAATTAAAAGTATAGAGTAGTTTAATGGAGACGGTGACCGCTTGAGCTTGCAATTTAAGTGTCTGATTGATTGCGAGTCGCCCTACCTTGTTTTGTTAGTTTGCTTATTTATTTGAAACCTGCCCCCTTTCTGACTTACGGCGACCTCCGGTGGGGTTTTCAAGGCCAGAGACATTCAGAGGTGAACATAAGAGACACCAGTGTTGGATCAGGCCAAAGGCCCATCCAGTCCAACACTCTGTGTCACACAGTGGCCAGAAATACCAGGTGCCATCAGGAGGTCCACCAGTGGGGCCAGGACATTAGAAGCCCTCCCACTGTTGACCCCCCCCCCCAAGCACCAAGGAGACAGAGCATCCCTTGCCCCAGAGCCCCTATCTATACCTTGTGGCTAATAGCAATGGATGGACCTCCGCGCCATATGTTTAGCCAATCCTCTCTTGAAGCCGTTTATGTTTGTAGCCGCCACCACTTCCTGTGGCAGTGAATTCCATGTGTTAATCACTCTTTGGGTGAAGAAGGACTTCCTTTTATCCGTTCTGACCCGACCACTCAGCAATTTCATTGAGTGCCAAGGAGTTCTTGTATTGTGAGAAAGGGAGAAAAGTACCTCTTTCTCTACCTGCTCTATCCCATGCATAATCTTATAAACCTCGGTCATGTCTCCCCTCAGTTGTCGTTTCTCCAAGCTAAAGAGCCCCAAGCGCCTTAACCTTTCCTCATAGGGAAAGTGTTCCAACCCTTTTATCGTTCGAGTTGCCCCTTTCTGTGGTGACCAGAACTGCACACAGTATTCCAAATGAGGTCGCACCATGGATTTATATAGGGTGGTTTGCCATCGCCTGCCTCCGCGTCACGGCCCTGGTATTCCTTGGATGGCTCCCATCCAAATACTAGCCGGGGCCGGCCCTGCTTAGCTTCTGAGATCCAATGAGATCGGGCTAGCCTGGGCTTCCGGGTCAGGACCAAGGCACCTTAAAACACAAATAAGACAACGACGACAATTTTTTTAAATGCGTAGATGGTCGTAAAGGGGTGGCACCATCTCAGCAGCGAAGAAGCCGCACCCGGCCACCCAAGTGACCGCTTGCAGCAACACAGTAAACGTGTCAGCGAGGCACCGCGGGGGCTCAGGTGGGTTCCTGCCCTTAGCTGTGCAGGAGGTGGCTGGCCCTCCTCCCGCCTTGGCTTGTGCTGCGCCACTGTTGGCTGTGTCTGAGCCAAGGTCGGTCACTGTCGCCGCAGGGGTCTGCCAGGGGATGGATGCCTGTGCCTTGCTTGGGACAACAGAACCCCTTGAACTGGCCCTGCGAAGAAAGGATCTTGTAGCAGTATCCTGTATATTCCATCGCACAGGTTCATATGAATTGTGGATCGTCTGTTAAAGGTAAAGGAAAAGGTTTCCCTTGCTCGAAAGCCAGTCGAGTCTGACTCTAGGGTGCAGTGCTCATCTCTGTTTCCAAGCCGAAGAGCCGGTGCTGTCCGAAGACGCTTCCGTGGCCATGTGGCTGGCATGACTAAATGCCGAGGCGCACGGAACGCTGTCACCTTCCCACCGAAGCGGTACCTATTTATCTACTTGCAGTTCCTTGCTTTCAAACCGCTAGGTTGGCAGGAGCTGGGGTTAGAGACGGGCGCTCACTCCGTCACGCGGCACCCGGGTCTCGAACTGCCGAACTACAGACCTCCCGGTCTGCAGCTTGGCGTCTTAACCTCAGAGCCACTGTGACCCTGGATCATCGGTTACGCTGGTTAATTTCAAACGAGTATCAGGTTTGCTGTAGTTTTCCATCTGAGACCATTCTACTCCATTGGCCTCGTGTTTTAACAGTCCTGCCTTTTGTACATGACTGGTGGTTGTGGCCTGGCCTTAGACCCTCCCCTCCCACCCCCCAAATACGCCTGCATATTCCTGCTAACCTGTGGGGAATACGGGATGGGAAGGGCAGATGTGGGGGGGAAACGAAATCTAAATCAAGAGTCATCTCCTGGGGGAAGTCCATACATGGGAAAACATTCCCTGCAGCGGTTACAAATCACGGCACTCTGAATTTACCAGGGTGTGAAAGAATGGCTCCTTCTGTACAAAGGAGAGAGATCGAGGATCGGATCACCTACTACAGTGATGGCGAACCTTTTGAAGACCGAGTGCCCAAACTGCGACCCAAGGTGAAGAATAGATTCAAGGGTCTGGATTTGATAGATAGAGTGCCTGAAGAACTATGGACAGAGGTTCGTGACATCGTACAGGAGGCAGCAATCACCACCATCCCAAAGAAAAAGAAATGTAAGAAAGCAAAGTGGCTTTCTGATGAGGCTTTACAAATAGCAGAGGAAAGAAGGAAAGCGAAAGGCAAAGGCGAAAAGGAAAGATTTACCCAACTGAACGCAGATTTCCAGAGAACAGCAAGGAGAGATAAGGAGGCCTTCCTGAATGAACAGTGCAAAGTAATAGAAGAAAACAATAGAATGGGAAGGACTAGAGATCTCTTCAAGAAAATTGGAGAAATCAAGGGAGCGTTCCATGCAAAGCTGGCCATGATAAAGGACAAAAACGGTAGGGACCTAACAGAAGCAGAAGAGATTAGGAAAAGATGGCAAGAATACACAGAAGAACTATACAAGAAAGACCTCAATGTCCTTGACAAACACGACGGTATAATCACTGACCTTGAGCCAGACATCCTGGAATGTGAAGTTAAATGGGCCTTAGAAAGCATTGCTAACAACAAAGCTAGTGGAGGTGATGGTATTCCAGCTGAGCTATTCAAAGTCTTAGAAGATGATGCTGTTAAAGTTCTGCACTCCATTTGCCAGCAAATTTGGAAAACGCAACAGTGGCCTCAGGATTGGAAAAGGTCAGTATACATTCCAATCCCAAAGAAGGGCAATGCCAAGGAATGTTCAAACTATCGCACAATTGCACTCATATCACATGCTAGCAAGGTCATGCTCAAGATCCTACAAGCTAGGCTTCAACAGTACGTGGATAGAGAACTGCCAGAAGTACAAGCTGGGTTTCGAAGAGGTAGAGGAACGAGAGATCATATTGCCAACATTCGCTGGATTATGGAGAAAGCAAGAGAGTACCAGAAAAATATCTACTTCTGCTTCATTGACTATGCTAAAGCTTTTGACTGTGTGGATCACAACAAACTATGGCAGGTCCTTAAAGAGATGGGAGTACCAGACCACCTCACATGTCTCTTGAGAAACCTGTATAAGGGTCAAGAAGCAACAGTTAGAACCGGATATGGAACAACTGATTGCTTTAGCATAGGAAAAGGAGTACGACAAGATTGTATATTGTCACCTTGCTTATTTAATATATATGCAGAGTACATCATGCGAAATACTGGCCTGGATGAATCACAAGCAGGAATTAAGGTTGCTGGGGAAAAAATCAACAACCTCAGATATGCAGACAACACCACTCTAATGGCAGAAAGTGAAGAGGACCTTAAGAGCCTCTTGCTTAGAGTAAAAGAGGAGAGCGCAAAAGTGGGCTTGAAGGTCAACATCAAAAAAACTAAGATCATGGCATCCGGCCCCATCACTACTTGGCATATAGAAGGGGAAGTCGTGGAAGTAGTGACAGACTTCACGTTCCTGGGATCCCAGATCACCGCCCAAACTGGGCTCTCTAAAGGTGCCGCCGAACTCAAACTCTGTTTCGTCGCTGCAGACCAAGATGGCTGCCCACCTGAATTGATCTCCCTGGAAATCTTGTTGGGCTCTAGGGGGGCTACTGGCCTTGAATCCTGCACTCCTGCCCCGTATTGTTTCCAGAGCCACTGAAGCAGAAAGAAGCTACTACAGTCAGGTGGGGATGACAGGCAAAAGGGTCCTGACCCCGGATCAGAAAGCAAAGCCCCTTTTAGGACTTCGTATGGTGTGTGAAACAGCGTTCCGTGCGCCTTGGTGTTTAGTCGCCGGCCACATGACCACGGAAACGTCTTCGGACAGCGCTGGCTCTTCGGCTTGGAAACGGAGATGAGCACCGCAACCCTAGAGTCGGACTCGACTGGCTTTCGAGCAAGGGAGACCTTTACCTTTTTATGGTGCGTGAATCCTAGAGGGGTTAGCTATGTCGGGCTGCAGTCCGCCTAAGAACGCTTCACTGCTGAGCCTCATGGAATGAAGTGGAGCTTACATTTGAGTAGGTGTGTTCAGGATGGCTCCCTTTGTCTGCCACATGAGAACCTCGCGGCCCACGCTTTTGCAAGCTTAGAGCCCACCTCGTCCGAGGCGTGATCCATACATAGTTGGCAGATAGGGGCAAAGACAAGAATCCCTGCCTTGTTCTTCTCTCTGTACCCGTGTTTATCTCCCAACCGAAGGTAACACTTGACACAACCAACGAAGTGGCCTTTAATCCATTAAATATTTGTATGCCTCAGTGAGCTTAGCTAAAAGAACTTTTGACCCATTTGGGCTAGAGTGGAGCTGGGGGAGCTCTATGCTAAGGTGGTTGTCAGAGCAACTATTATTGATTAATTTATTAAATTTCTGCCCCGCCCTTCCCGCTGTAGCAGGCTCAGGGCGGCTTACATAGGATAGGTAGAATTAAAGGTTCCCTTGCTCGAAAGCCAGTCGAATCCGACTCTAGGGTTGCGGGGCTCATCTCCGTTTCCAAGCCGAAGAGCCAGCGCTGTCCGAAGATGTTTCCGTGGTCATGTGGCCGGCATGACTAAACACCAAGGCGCACGGAATGTTGTTACCTTCCCACTGGAGTGGTACCTATTAATCTGCTTGCAATTTCTTGCTTTCGAATTGCTAGGTTGGCAGGAGCTGGAACTAGAGACGGGAGCTCACTCCGTCATGTGGCACTTGGGTCTCGAACTGCTGAACTACCGACCTTCCACAGCCTGCGGTTCAGTGTCTTAACCACTTGAGCCACCGCAGCTCCCTTACATAGGATATTATACAG